TGTCCCTCTGTCGTCACATGTGGTCAAGCTGGACAATGGACGCTTAGGTCCGGCAACTTACAATGGTGGCAGGGAAGCCGTTAGAACAACAACCTTTTCTTATCATGGAGGGGAAACTTTTACGGAAAGTTTTAGATTCAAAACTTTAGAATTCAAATAACAAAAAAGCCTCCCGAGAACGAACGTAATGATCCCGTGGTTTATTTTGTACTCTGGTAATGACAACATATCTAAGGACAAGAAACGCTCGTGCGTGTCAAAAACCGCGTGACAAAAAAGAGAAAAATAAAACAGGACGCTGCAAATACTAAAAGTTCACCCGTCAATGTCTGACGATTTTCTGTATCTTCAGAGGAGAATTTGTTTTAAAGAAATGACATCATACCAGTTTCCTGTGGCTTCTGCTATGAGCAATGAGATTAATTAATTCCTGCAAAGAAGGTTTGTCACATTTTAAGAATAATTTAAAAGAGTCATTTCCACAGATAATATGACAAGAAACGTTGGTGTGTCTACAAAAACAGCGTAAGAAAAAAGAGAAAAACAAAACAGGATGCTGCAAATACTAAAAGTCGGTCCGTCAATGCCTGACGATTTCATACATCTACAGAGGAGAATTTGCTTCAGTAAAAAGAAAAAGAATAAATAGTGATGTTGATAATCTATGGCTTTTGTTACCTCCAATGTGATAAATTCTGGCAGAGATGATTTTGCCACATTTCGAGAATGTATAAGTTTCTTTTCTACTTGCAGATCTGCGCAGGTTGCAGGCACCTCTCTTGATCTTCAGCATTTCTAATTCCTGGGTCTCACGATGTGCTGTCCTCTGAACAGTTATATAAAGAAATGATTATCATGCCAGTGTTCTGAGGGGTTATGTGTGTGGCAAAACCACAATAGTTTTACATCGTTCTCCACCCCCTTTGACCCCTCTCCCTAATAGGTGCTACAGAAGAAAGTTCAACATATCCTTGACCGGTTATCAGAGTGTATTACGTAAAGAAACATCGTCGTAGTAATAATAATAGCTGTGATGAGGTGTCTGTGAGTGTGGTCATTGTGGAAGTATTGCCGCGGGGCGTGTCCCTCTGTCGTCACATGTGGTCAAGCTGGACAATGGACGCTTAGGTCCGGCAACTTACAATGGTGGTAGGGAAGCCGTTAAAACAACAACTTTTTCTTATCATGGAGGGGATCTTTTACTTCAAAGTTTGGATTGAAAACTTTAGAATTGAAGTAACAAAAGAACGCCTAAGAAATAACGTAATTATCCCGTGGATTATGTTGTACTCTGTTGATAACAACATGGTATAGAATAAGAAATAGATTCTGTGCCTGTAGAGGAACAGCGTAAGAAAATGGGGAAAAGCAAAACAGGATGCTGCAATAATTAATGAAAGTCCCTCCGTCAATTTCTAACGAAATGCATCTACAGAGAAGGATAATTCTTAAAGAGAAATAGAAGAAATAAAGATTAAGATTTGGTGGCTTCTGTTATGAGCAATGAGATTAATTAATTCCTGCAAAGACAGATTGCCACATTTTGAGAATAATTTAAAAGTGTCATATTCACAGACAATATGGTTGTGCACAACCTGTGGGCTTTTCTCTTGACTTCAGCATTTCTATTTCTTGAATTATTTTTTATTTGCTGCCCAAAATGATTGCTTGTAATGACACAATAAGGAGAGTTTTGATGGAAGATGGTAAAAGTGACCTTCTGTATCTTTTAATGTTACAGATCAGAAGCCTAGGTCTTTTACTTTTGATTGATGTTTTTATTTGAGGGAACAAGGGATGTTCATTGTCCAAAAAGATTAAATACATTTTTTAGTGCAAGCTGTTATGTACAATTCATCCAAGTAGGGGAATGTAGATGTTGACATTTGGGATTGGCTTCAAACAATTTCTTTTCTTCCCTCCCTTTGTATCTCGGTCTTTCTGCTGGGGATTTTTCACCTCGCCGTCGCTCACAAAAGGTCTGAGTTCAATCCCCATGTGGGGAGAATTGTTGTGGAATATCTCAGACTTCCTGCTGGGATTGGTCTCTGTCTCGGCCGCGACCTTTCTTCTCACTAGAGACAGCTCCGCCCTGCCGTAGACCGGCACAACTCACTCTCCTACATTGGTCGTTGGAAGGGGCGGGTACGAAGGTTACAACCAACCATTCTCTTGTCATTCACAGTTGTTGCTCCAGATTGCAAACTTCAAACAACAACACAACAATAACAACAACAACAACAACAACAACAACAACAACAACAACAACAACAACAACAACAACAACAACA